AATATTTATATGTTTTATATACATATATATAAATGTTTATATGTTTTATATATTTTTTTATTTTCGCGCCCGGCATTTTAAGCCACCGGGTCTGGGACTCAAACTGCAGTCGACTACGTGGGAATCCAGCGACATAGCCATTATGCTAACTGCCGATCCCTATATTTTTATTTTTTAAGAGAGATTTTTTTGCTATAAAGCACATGTGCTTGCTGGAGAAACAGAGAGACAGAAAGCAATAAATCACCTCCCCAGAGGGATGGCCATGCCTCAATACCTTCTCCATTCTCTCAGGATTTTGGTCACGCACACACACACACCCGGTGTGAGTTTCAAGTCACCAGATCCGAGACTCAAACCACCGTCAGCCCTGTGGGAGTCCAGTGAGGTAACCATTACGCCCTCTGCTGGTCCCAATGTGAAATCTATTTAGAGCCACCTGATGATGTAAAGTGTTGGAGGAGGTATGATCATTCCTTCCCGGTATCACCACTCAGGCTTTTCTTTGTTCCTCCTCTTTCCGTCGGTAGAGATGCAGTCAGCCCAGTCAGCGCTAGCAGACATCGGGGTGTGTGGGGCTGGTCCAGATCAGTATTCCGATTGTCTTGCACTGTGTTATGAAGGATGCCACCTTCGCCCTGTGGTTTCTTTCCCCTTCTCCTTGTTGGTTTGTGCTCATCGTCGGAGCTCAGTTCCGTTGCCATTTCTCAGAGGAGCCTCTCCTGACCCCACGTCTGGCAGACTCCTGACAATGCAGTCAGGGCGCTGTGTTTCCCCTTCATGCTGCTTATTCCGGTCATAAGTAAACAGTGGCTTAAGCAGTGACTCATTCGAGTTCCCTGATAGGAAGTATATTCATAAGGGCAGGGATGTTTTATCTTTCTGTTCCTAGCCGTGTCCCCAGCTCCTGGCACAAATTGCTTTATAAATTCAATTCATAGGCTTGAAATCAGCGATTAAAAACCAGCTTTAAGGGGCCAGTAGGTGGTGGTGTGGTTCAGTTACCGGACTCCCACATGGCCAACCGCCATTTGAGTCCTGGATCTGGTGGCTTGCTTTCTCACTTTCCCTCTCTCTCGTTCTTTCTTTGGTAACTTGAAATAATAATAAAAATAATAAATAAAATTAAATAAATCATCTTTTTAGGGAAAAAAAATCAGGTTTAGGTGTAGAATGGCTCCAAACAATCATGTTTCCGTAGATTTTGTTTTTATCACACACCATCTGATTTTTGACAAGCGTTCCAAGATTAGTCAAGGGGGGGAAATTGTCTTTTAAGTACATGCTGCTGGCAGAGGCTGGCAGGTGGCATGATGGGTAATGGCTTTGGACTCTTACATGGCTGACCGTGGGTCAAGTCCCGTACCTGGTAGATTGATTTCTCGTTTTCCTTCTCTCTTTCTCTGTCTCTGATCAAACTGGAAAATAATAGTAATGAATAGGAAAATAGTGTTTGTCTTACCTTTGCTAAACGTTTGCAATTTCTAAGAAAACTATTCATCTCCTAAAAACTAAATAAATAAATACATGCTGCTGGGAAACCTGGGTCTCCACATGCACAAGGATGAAGCTGGCCCTTCATCTAAGACCACATATAAAAACGGATCAAAGATGTGAAGTTTGAAGGAGAGACTGTAGGATTGGGCCCATCCACAGCCGCTCAGGGCTATGCCTTGAACGCCGGATTCCACCAGCCAACTGGACGCGCACACCTGCATGCCTCAACCCGGACAGGAAGGAGGAATGGAGGAACAAGAGTTGGGGGGTCACCACGCCCCGTGGGGGATGCTTATGTGTGCTCGCTGTGTCTCCTGTGAGGGCTCATGCCCTCGGACAGTGAGAAACACACAAACGTAAACTGTGAAACCGGAGAAGGGGGACCAGCAGGCGTCGTGGTGGTTAAGGAGCTGGACACGCCCACATGGCCAGTCAGGATTCGAGTCCTGGACCTGGTAGCTTGCTTTCTCACTCCGCCTCCCCCTCCCCCAGTGTATTGGTCTATTAGTCTGTCTCTCTGGTCAAATTAAGATAAACGAATGAGTAAATAAAATGAAGTAAAGTTGTTTAAAAAAACTCGTAGAAGATGATGGGAAAATCATCGTAACTGTAGATCTGGCAGTGATTTTTTTATTATTATTATTTTGACTATTTATTTATTTTAAATTTGATCAGAGAGGGACTGCTAGTGGGAGTGTAAAGTGGTACAACTGCTAGAGAAACAGTTTGTTGATTCCTCAGAAAACTAAGTATAGAACTAGCGTATGATCCAGCCATTCTCGTAGGTATGCACTCCATGAAACAAACCAGGGACTCAAACAGATGCTTAAATGCCAGCGTTCCCGACCAGCGGTATGCATGGTCGCTTAAACAGCCTAACTAGGCATCAGCAGAGGAATGGATACACAAGATGAGGAATATATGCACAATGGAATATTACTCAGCCAAAAAAGGAACACGGTTCTGGTACATGCTACAGTGTGGATGAGTCCAGAAATGATATGCAAGTGAAATAAGGCAAATGCAAAATGGCAAAGGTGTGATTCCAATTACACGTGCCTAGCTAGGTGAATCCACAGAGACAGTGGGGTTACCAAGGGTAAAGTGAGGAGGGCCTAGGTAGGTAGGCTTGCTTTATTTGTTTATGTAAGAGATTTCTTGCTATAGGGCTGTGTATTCTTCAGAGAGATAGAAAGTGAAAAGTCACCCCCCCAGGGGGGATGGCCACACCACAATCCTTTCTCTGTTCTCCCGTCAGGATTTTGGGCACGCATGCACACATGCCTGGCAGGAGTTTTAAGCCACTGGGTCTGGGACTCAGATTGCAGTGAACTGTGTGGGAGTCCCGTGGTGTAACCTTCAGCCATCTGCTGGTCCCGTACTTATTTCCTGACGGTTACGGTTTATGTTTGGGAGGCTGAGCGAGTTTTGCCACCGGCGATGATTGCTGCTCAACGTTTGGAGTATAGCTATGCCTCCGAATTGTAGACTTAAGCATAGTCAAAACGGTAAATGTCATGTTATGTCGATTTTGCCACAATTATAAAAAAAAGTCAAGGATTTCCGAGTCTGATGGCAAGTTGTTAGGGAAAGTGATAGACCATGAAATTCAGCAAAGTAAATGAGCCTAGGAGGGGTTGGTATGAAGAAAAGGAAAAGTTTGAGGTCTCACATACTGCAGGGAGCTTGAAAGGAAGGTATTTAAGGAGTAAATGGAGGGGACAAAAATGAGAGCAAGATGGGACCAGCAGTTAGTGTAATGGCTATGTCGCTGGACTCCCACGTAGTCGACTGCGGTTTGCGTCCCGGACCCGGTGGCTTAAAATTCACACTGGGCGCGTGTGCGTGCGTGCCCAAGATCCCGAGAGGAGAATGGAGGAGAAGGGATTGCGGCATGGCCATCCTCCCTGGGGAGTGATTTCTCGCTTTCTGTCTCTCTGTCTCTGTCTGTCTGGTGAACACATGCGCCCTATAGAAAAACCTCTAAAAAACATGAGAGCAAGATGTGCTGGCTGATCTATTGGGTGTTAAGACTTTTCAAGGTCGGGGCTGGCAGGTGGTGTGGTGGTTAAGGGTGCTGGACTCCCACGTGGCCACGGTTCGTGTCCTGGACCTGGTGGCTTACTTTCTCACTTTCCCTCTTTCTCTCACTCTGTCCCTCTCCGGTCAAATTTCAATAAATAAATATAAAGTTAAATAAAATACTTCTTTAATGAAAAAGACTTTTCAAGGTCAACTGAATAAAGGCAAGGCTATGAGCACAGGAGTGGACTGCTGAGAGCGTGGGGGTGACAGTCTTGGGAACTGGACGTGGTCACATGCCCATAGGAGGCAGCCTGGAGAACAGTAGAAAGCAAGCCTGAGTTTGATGTCAAAGGTGAGCAGAGACCAGTGGTTGATTTGCAGTGGCCTCGAAGGAAGCTTTATTGCTCCTGCGTGGCTTCCTCTGCACTTGTGTTGCAGTACGACCCAGGGTGGAATTCCTGTGTTCTGCAGGTTTGGTGAGCGTCTTAGGTTACCAGCAGCTATGTCAACCCCCATGAAGAGAGTTGGAGAAATAAGCTCAGGCAATAGGTTTTTCTGCAGGTCTGGTTTTTACCTGATGGTTCTTCTGCAGGTCTGGATAAGAAAAATGAAAGGGAAAAGCTTTGGCATTTTACTTTTTGTTTTAGGAGTTTGTTATAGGGTGTGTGTGCTCACCAGAGAGAAGGAGAGACAGAGAAAGGGAAAGTGAGAAATCTGCCCACACATAGACCAGGGGTCGGCCAAGCCACAATGTTTCCTCCACTCTTCTCTCAGGGTCTGGGCCAGGCACACGTGCCCGATTGACTCCCAAGCCTCTGAGTCTGGGACTTGAACCATGGCCAGTCTTGTGGGAACCTAGCACCTTAACCACCGTGCCATCTGTCGGCCCCATATAACTTTTTAAAATCTCACTTTTAGGGCCAGCAGGTGACATGGTTGAGGCACTGGACTCCCATGTGACCAAACACAGTTCCAGTCCTGGACCCAGCGGCTTGAAACTCATGCCGGGCGTGTGTGAGTGTGTGCATGCCCCAAATCCCAGAGGAAAGTGGAGGAGAAGGGACTATGGCATGGCTATCCCCCTGGGGGGGTGATTTCTTGCTCTCTGTCTCTCTTCTCTCCAGTGAGTGCATGATTCCTAAAACAACAACAACAAACTAAAAAAAAAAGACTTTCAAAAGTACAGAACAGGTCTTCAAAGTTTTTTTTCAGTTTTTAAAAATTTTTCAAGATTTTTACATTGTAGTGTTTCAAAAGGAATACCTTTGGGGGTAGAGTCTGATCTAGAATTTTATACCGTGTGTCACTTCCTGATTGCTGTAGTGTGAGAGCTAAGAGTGGTCATTCGGAAAGCCCCATCTGATGAAATCGGACTTCGAAATGACAGCTTGTCCCTGAATTTTGTTTTCTCTTGTGGCAGACCATTCATGCACCCTGATTTATGGTGATTCTCAAAACATCCTTTCCATCTTTCTTAGGAAAACGGGAAATCATTTCCACAACTTCATTAGTTGGCAAGACCTGAGAGCTTTGGAACTTGTCAAGTCTTGGAATAATTCTTTTCTAATGAAGGTAATCCTTTTCTCCTGCAATTTGAATATTTTGTTTTTTCCTTCAGATATCTCTTAACTGGTATCAATAGGTGGCGTGGGGGTTAAGGCGCTGGACACTCCCACATGGGCGACCATGGTTTGAGTCTCAGACCTGGTGGCTTGCTTTCTCACTTTCCTTCTCTCTGAGTGTCTGTCTTTCTCTGGTCAAATGAAAATGACTGAATGAATAAATAAAATTAAATAAATAATTATTTTTAAAAATAGCTCTTAACTGTAGCATTAATTTTGTAGTTTCCCACCTGTGTCATTTCAAGACATGAAGAGGAGAATGCACACATACACTTCCTACGCCGTCCTAGCTCCTGGCACCGGTCTGTCCTCCACTTGGAAAACATTCTAATTATGGGCCAGCCAGGTGGTGTGATGGGCCAGGCCCTTGGATCCCACATGGCCAAGTTCGTAGTTTGAGTCTCTGATCTGGTGGCTTGAAAAATACACTGGGCCCATGAACACGTGTGCCCAAAGTCCTGAGAGGAAGATGGAGAAGGAGCTGTGGTGTGGTCCTCCCGGGGGGTGATTTCTCACTTTCTCTCTATCCCTAGTGAGTGCATATGCTGTATAGTAAACATTTAAAAAAAAAAAAAGAAAGAAAGAAAATAGGGAGACTGGCAGGTAGTGTGGTGGTGGTTGGGGTGCGGAACTCCTACATGGCTGACCACAGTTCGAGTCCTAGACCTGGCAGCTTACTTTCTTACTTTCCCTCTCTTTCTCTCTCTCTCTCCCCCTCTGGTGAAATAATAATAATAATAATAAATAAAAATAAATAATTCTTTAAAAAAAAAGAGAGAAAGAAAATATGGGACTAGCAGTTGGCATAGTGCTTAAGGCACTGGACTCCCACATGACCGACTGCAGTTTGAGTCCTGGACCTGGCAGTTTGCTTTTTCTCTCTCTCTGACTCTCTGGTCAAAATGAATAATAATAATAATAATAATAATAATAATAAAATACAATGAATTTGATAATTCATATAAATTAAATTTAAAAAAAGACAAATTGAGTCCAGCATACGGTGTAGTGGGACTCCCACATGGCCGACTGCAGCTCGAGTCCTGGGCCTGGTGGCTTGGAAAATCTCACCAGGCACAAGTGCCTGCATGCCAAAGATCCCAGGAGGAGAATAGAGAAGGGGTTGTAGCATGCCATCCTCCCTGGGGGCTAATTTCTCACTGTCCCTCTCACTATCTGGTGAGTACATGCACCTTAAGGCAAAAACCTCTTTAAAAAAAAAGAAAGAAAGAAAATGTTTTCATTTCAAAACTTAGACATGGGGGCCTGCAAGTGGTGTGGTGGTTAAAGGTGCTGTATTCCCATATGACCGACCATGGTTCAAGTCCTGGACCTGGTGACTTGCTTTCTCCTTCTCTCTCTCTCTCTGTCTCTCTCTCTCTCTTTCTCTGATCAAATTAAAAAATAATAAGAAGAAATGAAAATAAATAATTCTAAAAAAAAAACTTACAGGAAATGGTAACTTTTTAAATTCTAACCTTCAGCTTTTATTTTTCTCGCTTAGTATGATTCCTTGGCTTTTCATCTAAGATTTTCTGTGTATCAGGAGCCATTCCTTTTTCTTGCTGGCTTGCGTTTAATGGGACAGAAATCGCATAGTTTATCTGGCCATCCACCTGTTGAAGGACATCTGTGCTAATGCCAGTTTTTGACTATTTCAGACGAAGCTGTTGTGAACATTTATGTTACTAAAAGAATTTTTTTTATTTAATTGTATTTATTCATTCATTTATTTTAATATGACCAGAGAGAGACACACACACAGAGAGAGAAGGAAGATGAGAAAGCAAGCCACCAAGTCCAGGACTTGAACCATAGTCAGCCTTATGGGAGTCCAGTGCCGTAACCACCACCACCACGCCACCTGCCAGCCCCTGTAATCTGGATTTTTAGAGTATCTCATTTATTGATTTGAGTACTTACTTGTCTCTCTCCTCACCAGAATATACATTTTTAAAAATACTTATTTAATTTTATTATTATCGCTTTTTAATTGGACCAGAAAGAGACGGAACATGGGGGATGGAGAGGGCAAGTAAGAAAGCCAGACACCAGGTCCGTGATCGGCCATGCGGGAGCCCCCACCATGCCTCAGCCCCCATGCCACCTGCCTGCCCCCAGAATATAAGTTTAACAAGACATGATTCCGCCAGTCTTACTTATTTCTGTTTTGAAGGCCTCGCACGGTCTTTGATACATCGACGTTTCCTATAAATGCTCACTAGGCAGAGGGACGCAGGTGCTACTTGTTCCCATGCTGACCAGAAGTGCAGGTGTCGGAGCTCTTAATACGTTTCGTGTGACCCCTTCCCAAGGTTCTGCATTTTAATGAAATCCCTCAGGCATCCTAAATCTAATTTTTTGTTTGTTTGTTTGTTTGTTTTTTTAGAGATTTTCACTGTAGGGCGCGTGCGCTCGCCAGACAGACAGAGAGAGACATAGAGACAGAAAGCGAGAAATCACCCCCCAGGGGGGATGGTCATGCCGCGATCCCTTCTCCTCTATTCTCCTCTCGGGATCTTGGGCACGCACGCACACGCGCCCGGCGTGAGTTTTAAGCCACCGGGTCCGGGACACGAACCGTGTTCGACTACGTGGGAGTCCAGCGACATAGCCATTACGCTAACTGCTGGTTCCCTAAATCTAATTTTTATAAGAAAGACATAATGTGCTTAAGCAAGAAGAGCTGATTTCAGTTTTAAATCATTTTCTTTCTTTCTTCCTTTTTCTTTTTTTTTTTTTTTTAAGGTTTTTGCCATATGGTGCATGCATTCACTGGAGAGAGAGAGAGAAAAGGAAAGTGAGAAGTCACCCCCCAGGTGTATGACCACGCCACAGTCCCTTCTCCATTCTCCTGGGACTTTGGGCATGCACATACATGTGCCCAGCATGATTTTCAAATTACCAGGTCCAGGACTCGAGGTGTGGTCAGTGATGTAAAAGTCCAGTGCTTTAACCATCTGCTGGCCCCACTTTTAAATCATTTCTTAAAATGTAACTAATTCATGGGCCAGCAGGTGGCATGGAGGTTAAGGCACTGGATGCCACCTGGCCAACTGTGTTGTTCGAATCCTGGACTCAGCAGCTTGAAAGTCACCTGGGTGTGCAGGCCTGTGTGCCCAAAATCCTGAGAGGAGGACAGAGGAGAAGGGACTGCTGTGGCCATCCCCTGTCTGGGGTGCTTTCTCACTTTCTCTCTGTTCCCCTCCTCTGTCCCTCTCTGGTGACCATACATGCCCTATAGGAAAAAAAAAAATTAGGGGCCAACAGATGGCATATTGGTTACATAGCTGGACTCCCACATGACTGAGCATGGTTCAAGTCCTGGACCTGGTGGCTTGAAAATCACACTGGGTGTTTTGCGTGCATGCCCAAGGTCCTGAGAGGAGAATGAAGGAGGAGGATTACAGCGTGGCCATCCCCCCTGGGCGGTGGTGGGAGGTGTGATTTCTCGCCTTCTGTATCTGTCTCATCTGTCTCTCTGGCGAGTGCATGCACCCTATAGTAAAACAACAAATAAACAACAACAACAAAAAACCCTCTAAAAATAAATAGAAAAATAACTAGAGAAGTAGAAAATAGTTCTCTTTAAAAAACTTTTCTAAGTACCCTGATTTGTTTGCTAAATAAGTTAACAAGAATGGGTTGCATTTCGTATGTTAAAGTACAGACCATCCTCTTAAGATATTACTTGACTTTTTTTAAGCACCAAGAACATTTTGAAAAATAGTTAAGTGACTTGTTTGCGTGTGTACAGAATCGATACAGAAATGTCGAGCATCATTAAGTGCATGTCTCCTGAAATATCCCTCTCTACGTAGGTGGTACACAGCTCCTGCCGCCTGCTGCACTTTTTCACCAGAAGTCGGAGACTGCTGGCAGCCAGTCTGTTCACGTTCACCACTCAGCACACTTCTCTGCGATTGGCCTGGATTCTACAGAACTTGGCTGAGGTAAGAAAAGATTGTATGTGTAGAAGTGAGATAAAGACTATGGGGGAGAAGCAGTCAAGGAATTAATGTGAAAATCCCATTGTGGGAGAGCAAGTTAAGTATCTGTACATATTAAAATAGAAGACAAGTCTTTTTTTATTTTTTATTTTTTTGAGATAGAAATAGAGAGACAGAAAGTGAGAAATCACCCCCCAGGGGGGATGGCCACGGCACAATCCCTTCTCCTCCTTTCGGGATCTTGGGCACGCATGCACACACGCCCGGTGTGAGTATACGCCACTGGGTCCAGGACTTGAACTGCGATTGACTACATGGGAGTCCAACAACATAGCCATTACGCCAGCTGCTGGTCCCAGAAACAAGGCATCTTTACCTGCTTCATTTTTTAAGCCTTTTAATGAATTACAATCCAGGAAGGTGAGCAAGCCAAAAGTAGCACTCAGTGAGGCTCTGTGGAGGAAGCTTCACCAGCTCTATCTAGAACGGTGACAGGTGTAGGGCGTTTTCTTTCTGTTTCTACAATGTCTGTGTTTAACCATCAACATTGTTTTGCCTTCATATTTTCAAACTGTATCGGTCGAATTGTACAGTGTATACTCTCTGTGTCAGGCTCCCGTTGTCCAGTGTGATGTTTGTGAAATCTACTCTGTTCTTTGTAAATCAGTTCGCTTATATTTTTATGGCTACTTTACTGTTCAAAAGATAAGTTTACCACGGTTTGTCTATTCCGTTCATGTACATGTGAGTTTTTCCTGTTTTGAGCCATTATGCATAATGGATGCACTGATGTATATTTCAATGCTGTGTCCACACATGGGGATGGGGTTTTTACAGCCCGAGTTGTGTGTGTATATGTATCTTTACCCTTTGTGGGTAACGTCTAGCACTCTCCCACAATGGTTGTAACGATTAACCTCTCTTCATCAGTGATGAGAGGATCTTTTATTTTGTTTGCCATTTGAATCTGTATTATCAGTCCTTTTATTTTAGCTATCTTAGCAACTGAGGACTGCTATCTCATTGTAATTTTAGACTGGATAGAAAAATGAGATCTGGGGGCCAGAAAGTGGCGTGGTGGTTAAGGGTGCTGGACTCCCACATGGCTGACTGTGGTTCAAGTCTCAGACCTGGCGGCTTGTTTTCTCACTTCCCCTCTATCACTCTGTCCCTCTCTGGTAAAATTAAAATAAATAAATAAACTTATTGAAAAAAAAAGAAAAGAAAAGAAAAATGAGCTCCGCTATCTGCTCTCTGCAGGGAACACACTTTAGCTACTAGGGTAAAAGTAAAATGGGTGTGAAAGACATATTCTGCAAACAGCAACCATGAGAAGCTGGAGTGGTGGTCCGAGCCCGTTGCCTAGTGGTTAGGGGAGCCGGATCCCACATAGTCAGCTATGGTTCAGCTCCCCCGCCCTGGTGACTTGAAAACACACAAGGGCTTGTGTGCGTGTGCTCCGAATACCGACAGGATGGTGAATGCAGGAGAAGGGGTTGCATTTTGCTCTCTGGTGAGCACTTACGCCTTATGGCAATTAAAAAGGAAAAGGGAGCCAGCAGGTGGCATAGTGGTTAAGGCGCTGGACTCCATATGGTTGACTGCGATTTGAGTCCCACATCTGGCAGCTTGAAAGTCTTGCACGGCACATGTGCCTCCATGCCCAAAATCCCAGGAGGAGAAGGGATTGTGGCATGGCCATGTCCCCTAGGGGGTGATTTCTCACTTCCCCCTCACTGTCTCTGGTGAGTGCACATGCCTTCTAAAAAAAGAAAAGAAGGAAGGGAGGAAGGGAGGGAAGAAGGAAGGAGTTACACAAATATGTTCTCTGACCAAACAGGAATGGAACTAGAAGTAACAGAAAATTTGTGAAATTCAAAAAAATAATGTGAGAATGAAATAGGATACTTTTAAATAATCAGTAGGTCAAAGAAGAAATCACAAGACAAATGAGGAATTAGTGTTTTCTAGTTCCCATCTTTGAAAAGAAGAAAATTAGTCTAGTCTGTTCTGTTTCTCCATCCTGTCTGGGTTGGTGGCCCACATTTACATGCACCCGGCGTGTTTTTCAAGCTGCCCAGGCCAGGATTTAGACCATGGTTGGCCTTGTGGGACCTGGATCCCTTAACCACTAGATCATGAGGCCAGCTCATTATGGCTTTAATTTACATTCCCCTAATATTAACAAAGTTGATCATCTTTTCATGTATTATTGGCTACTTGTATAATCCTTTTGTGAAATACCTGTTTAAATCTTTTGTTTATTAAGAAAACCTGATAGTTGTGGACAGCAGGTGGTATGGTGGTTAAACCGTTGGACTTCCACATAGCTGACCATGACTCGAGTCCCAGACCCGGCAGCCTAAGAATCACACCCGGCTTGTGGCATGGCCATGTCCCCTAGGGGGTGATTTCTCACTTCCCCCTCACTGTCTCTGGTGAGTGCACATGCCTTCTAAAAAAAGAAAAGAAGGAAGGGAGGAAGGGAGGGAAGAAGGAAGGAGTTACACAAATATGTTCTCTGACCAAACAGGAATGGAACTAGAAGTAACAGAAAATTTGTGAAATTCAAAAAAATAATGTGAGAATGAAATAGGATACTTTTAAATAATCAGTAGGTCAAAGAAGAAATCACAAGACAAATGAGGAATTAGTGTTTTCTAGTTCCCATCTTTGAAAAGAAGAAAATTAGTCTAGTCTGTTCTGTTTCTCCATCCTGTCTGGGTTGGTGGCCCACATTTACATGCACCCGGCGTGTTTTTCAAGCTGCCCAGGCCAGGATTTAGACCATGGTTGGCCTTGTGGGACCTGGATCCCTTAACCACTAGATCATGAGGCCAGCTCATTATGGCTTTAATTTACATTCCCCTAATATTAACAAAGTTGATCATCTTTTCATGTATTATTGGCTACTTGTATAATCCTTTTGTGAAATACCTGTTTAAATCTTTTGTTTATTAAGAAAACCTGATAGTTGTGGACAGCAGGTGGTATGGTGGTTAAACCGTTGGACTTCCACATAGCTGACCATGACTCGAGTCCCAGACCCGGCAGCCTAAGAATCACACCCGGCATATGTGTGCATGTGCCCAGAATCCCTAGAGGAGAATGGAAGAGAAGGGATTGTGGCATGGCCATCCCTCTGGGGGTTAATTTCTGACTTTCCCTCTCACTCTCTCTCTCTCCCTCTACAGTGAGTACACATGTCCTGTGAACCCCCCAAGACTCCCCCCCCCAACAAAACAAAACAAAACAAAAAGCAGGAAACAAAACTGCAAGACTAATTTTTTGTTTGTTTTTAAGTGTCACAGTGGAGCGCATGGTGCACTTGCTGGAGAGAGAAAGAAAGAGTGAGAAATCACCTCTAGGGGGATGACCACACTGCGGTCCCTTCTCCATTCTCCTCTGGGTTTGGGGCACGCACACACATGTGCTGGTGTGCTTTTCAAGCCGCTGGCTCCAGGACTTGAACCACACTGTTGGCCGTGTGGGATCCAGCTGTGCTGACCTCCTCGCCAAGAGCTGCACCCCCCCACCGCCCCTGACTATTTTTTTCTCTGTCTCTCTTTGATCAAACTGGAAAATAATAATAATAAATAAAGTTAAATAAATAATTCTTTAAAAAATCAATAACCATTTTTACTATAAAAAACAGGCAATAGGCTGGATTTGTCCCGTGGGGCATTGTGCGTCATTCCTGTTTTAGGCTGTACTAGTATATGTACATGTCAGAATTAAAAATAAGCTGAAAGTATGTATTTTACATAAATATATGTATATATAAACTTTTTACTTTTACTTTTTAATCATAAAAGCAATACATATTTTTTGTGGGGGAGAGGTTTTTGCTCTAGGGTGTGTGGTGTGCTTGCCAGAAAGACAGAGAGACAGAGAGACAGAAAGCAAGAAATCATCTCCCAGGGGGGATGGCCATGCCACAATCCCTTCTCCTCTACTCTCCTCTTGGGATTTTGGGCACATACACACACACGCCCGGCGTGAGTTTAAGCCACCGGGTCTGAGACTCGAACCGTGGTCAACTACGTGGGAGTCCAGTGACATAGCCATGATGCCAACTGCTGGTCCCAAAAAGCAATACATATTTGATATAAAACTAAAGACTTTTTCAGAAATTCTACATAGAAAATGAACATGATACCACCATTCCCACTAAATACATTCCAGAAATTGTTTTTCTATGTGTGTATGTATATATATTGGTTTGGCTAAAAAGTCATGATACATTTTTTTAAAGAATTATTTATTTAATTTTATTTATTCGTTCATTTATTTTCATTTGACCAGAGAGAGACCGAGAGAGAGAGAGAGAGGGGGAAATGAGAAAGCAAGTCACCAGGTCTAGGACTTGAACTTTGGTTGGCCATGTGGGAGTGTCCAGTGCCTTAACCACTGTACCAACTGCTAGCCCTATCTTTTTTTTTTTTTTTTAGATAAATTTTGGCTATAGGGTGTGTGCAGTCACCAGAGAGACAGAGAGAGACAGAAAGTGAGAAATAACCCCCCCGCTTCCCCCGTGGGGATGGCCATGCCACAATCCCTTCTCCATTCTCCTTTCAGGATTTTGGTCGTGCACGCACATGCACCTGGCATGAGTTTTAAACCCCTAGGTCTGGGACTCGAACTGCGGTTGACTACATGGGAGTCCAGCAACGTAACCATTGTGCCATCTGCTGGTCCCATTCATGATGCATTTTTACATAGAAAAACAGAAAATTATGTCATGACTTCCAACAACTATATATGCATATATTTCTTTTCTTTTTGTTTTTCTTTTTAGTTGCCAAAGGGCACATGTGCTGACCAGAGAGAGAGAGAGAGAGACAAAGCACCCTCCAAAGAGATGTGCTTGGGGCCGGCAGGTGGCAGGTGATTAGGGGTGCTGGAATCCCACATGGCTGACTGCTGTTCGAGTTCCAGACCTGGCAGCTTGCTTTCTCACTTTCCCTCTCTCACTCTGTCCTTCTCTGGTTAAATTAAAATAAATAAATAAATAAAGTTAAATAAAATAATTCTTTAAAAAAAAAAAGAAGAGGTATGCTCAGCTGTAGCCCCTTTCTGTTCGATTCTTCATTCCTTCAGGATTTTAGGCACATACACATATTCACCTGGAGTGGTTTTATTTTATTCTATTTCTTATTATCACTATTTTTTAGTACTACATTTAATCACATATATGTTTACAGCGTATTACATCTCTTCTTCCGGCACGACTACCACGTATATCGGTCAGGACAATGACGTTACCATCCACATCGTCATCAAATAGCTTTCCATCTTTCTTTTAGCTGATTATTAATTATTATCATTTATTCTCTTTATTTTTTTAAACATCCAATCACTATATATCATTTCACCTGGAGTGTTTTTCAAGCCTTTAGGGCCGGGATTTGAACAGAGGTTGGCCATGGGAGAGCTGACTCTCTATACACAGCACTTAACCACTGTGCTATGGAGCTAGCCCTGTATATATATATACACACACACATGAATTTTTATCATTACTGGGATTGTATTGTATCTGTTAACATGCACTTAATCATGCTCTTACCAATTTAGCTTTTTTATTTATTTAATTTTTTTTTGAGAGGTTTTTGCTATAGGGCATGTGCGCTTGCCGGAAAGACAGAGACAGAGAGACAAAGCAAGAAATCACCCCCCAGGGGGGATGGCCACACCACAATCCCTTCTCCTCCATTCTCCTCTCGGGATCTTGGGCACGCACGCACACGCGCCCGGCGTGAGTTTAAGCCACCGGGTCTGGGACTCGAACCGCAGTTGACTACATGGGAGTCCAGCGACATAGCCATTACACTTACTCCTGGTCCCCCAATTTAGCTTTTAAAAATTAGTTTTGTACTATTGTGTTTTCAAGGTTCAAAAGGCAGTCGAAGAAGGAAACTGCTGCTTTGGGACTCTGGACACCTGGTTGCTGTATAAGCTCACGAAAGGTAAGAACGGCCTGGCGGAGCTCTCGGTGTTTCCCGTTACTGAAACGTGACGGAGAACGAAGACTTGTCCAAGCCAGTCTTTTCCCTGCGCATATCCCAGACGTACTGCTCTTTGGGACCCTTATACTACGTGTTGCAGGAAGGCTCGATTTAGTTCAGGCTTGTTGGGCAAGGAGGGTAGTTTTAAATTGTGGTGACACCTCAGCCAAAGGGCTGGGGAGCAGCTTAATTTCTTTCTTTCTTTCTTTTTTTTTTTTTTTTTTGGTTGGGGAAGAGGATTTTGCTCTAGGGCACGTGTGCTCACTGAAAGACAAAAGAGAAACAGAGAGACAGAAAGCGAGAAATCAACTCCCTGGGGGGACGGCCACACCGCAGTCCCTTCTCCTCCACTCTCCTCTCGGGATCTTGGGCACACACGCACACGCACCCAGCATGAGGGTTCGGGACTCAAACCGCAGTTGACTACATGGGAGTTCAGCAACATAGCCATTACGCCAATTGCTGGTTCCAGAGCAGTCTTAATTTCAAGAGTGGTTAAGACGAGGTCAACACCAAGTCTGTGTGCCGTGGGTGGTCACTGCGTCTCTGAACTTCTTTGCTCCCCTTTAACTGAGTCACGCAGCGGCCATTTGTATGACGGTGCGTGCGTAAACCCTAAACGCTGGTAAAGGTTCAGTAGGAAAGTGCTATGAACATTTCACACCGGGAATGTCCATTTTGGAACACATTTGACCGTAGATAAAGACCAACATTTTAAACTAGGGATAGGTATTGATTCACTGTACCAGATGGTAAATGTCTTATTTTTTATTTAAATGTAGGTTCTGAATATGCCACGGATTTTTCAAATGCAAGTACAACTGGACTTTTTGATCCATTCAAGGTAAAGATTTTTCTCTTCTTTTTGAATCCCCCATTTCTGTGTCATTTAGTTCAGATGCCTTTTATTTTGTAATGAATTTATCTTCACTGACAAATACAGCTTGTATGTATGTAGTGTGTAAAACAGGATGTTTTGAGCTCTGTTTACACTTGGCGTGTGAATGCACCCTCTGACCGTGCGTTTCTGTGCTCAGATGTGCTGGAGCGGGGTCATCACCTCCCTGCTCTCCATCCCACTGTCTCTCCTGCCCCCCGTGAAAGACACCAGGTAACAGCAAGCAGCTGCATAGCAAGAGCAGACGTGTCTTTGCGTTCATCTTGTTGGGTGGGGAGCTGGGGAAAAGCATTTTATTACGTGTCCGAGGTGCTTGTGTGTTCATTATGGAACTTTTCTGCCTATGTTAAAAACCATTTGCTGGGGGCTGGCAGGTGGTGTGGTGGTTGAAGGCGCTAGACTCCCGCTTGGCCAGTAGTGGTTTGAGTACCGGATGTGGTGACTTGCTTTCTCTCTTTCTCTCTCTCTCTCACACACACACACACACACACACACACACACACACACACACACACTCTGCCCCTCTCTGGTCAAATTAAAATAAATAAAGTTAAGTAAAACAATTCTTAAAAACAAAAACAAAACCATTTGCTGAGAGTTGGCTGGTGGCTTGGTAGTTAAGGCACTAGACTCCTGCATAGCTGACTACGGTTCAAGTCCCAGACCCCATGACTTGAGAGTCATGCCAGGCATGTGTGCGTGCATGCCCAAAATCATGAGAGGAGAATGGAGGAAAAGGGATTGCAGTGTGGCCATCCTCCCAAGGGGGTGATTTCTCACTTTCCCTCTCTCTGTCTTTCTGCAGAGAGCGCAGGTGGCCTATGGCATAAACAAGCAAACAACAAAAATGGCTGAAATTAGGAATGAATATTTCTAGAGCTGTAACTTTCTTTTTAACTGATTTTATTTGAAGCCACAATTTCGGAACAGTGGATGAAGAGATATTTGGTGTGCCTATACCAATAGTTGCCTTGGTAAGTAGAAAACATGAGGGTTTCTCTTTCCGTAGTCTAAACTAATTATACGTGAACAGTCGCGATTAGTTTTAACCAAAACGAAATGGGGGTAGCTGCATGGCTGGTGGTTAAGGCAGCCAGATCCCACATGGCTGATTCCAAGGTTCAAATCCCAGATGCAGCAGCTTGAGAAATAGCTAGGTGCGTGTGCATGTTGGCCCAGAGGAGGGAGAGATGAAGGGGCTGGCCACTCCCCATGGGGCGCTTTCTTCTCTGTCTCTCTGTCTCAGGCAAAGGCACACGTCCTCTAGGAAGATAGAGAGAAAGGGGGAGAGAAATAAAAGGTCCTTGGCAGAATAAAAATTATTTATTTATTTAAAGAATTATTTTATTCAACTTTATTTATTTATTCATTTATTTCATATTAATTTGGTCATAGAGGGACAGAGAGAGAAAGTGAGAAAGCAAGCTGCCAGGTCCAGGACTCGAACCGTGGTTGGCCATGTGGGAGTCCAGCGCCCTTAATCACCACGCCATCCGCTGGCCCCTAAAGTATTTATTTCTTCCTTTTTAAGTGAAAGGGTCCTGGGTAGAAGCAGAGTATCCTCTGTGTCTGGCTTCTATTTGGTACTTCCATATAAAGAACCATGACGGTGCCAGTGCTTGTTTACATTTGCTACAGTGTAAGCAGAAACAACAGAGGAGGAGTCTTGAAAGGAGACAGACGTCCTTATTTTTCACAGAATTCTTAGGCAGCTTCTACCAGTATAGAAGCTTATGGAAGAATGAGATTTGCTGGGGTGTTTTTTTTTTTTTTTTTTGGTACTTTTTTTTTTTTTGGAGAGGTTTTTTTGCTATAGGGCGCGTGCGCTCGCCAGACAGAGAGACAGAAAGCCAGAAAGCGAGAAATCACCCCCCAGGGGGGATGGTCATGCCACAGTCCCTTCTCCTCCATTCTCCTCTCGGGATCTTGGGCACGCACGCACACGCGCCAGGCGTGAGTTTTAAGCCACCGGGTCCGGGACGCGAACCACGGTCGACTATGTGGGAGTCCAGCGACATAGCTATTATGGTAACTGCTTGTTCCCGAGATTTGCTGGGTTTGATTTTTTTTTTTTTTTTTTTGAGAGGTTTTGGCAACAGGCTGTGTGCGCTCGCCAGACAGAGACAGAGAGACAGAAAGTGAGACATCACCCCCCCCCCAGGGGGGATGGCCACACCGCAATCCCTTCTCCTCCATTCTCCTCTAGGGATCCTGGGCATGCACACACATGCGCCCGGCGTGAGTTTAAGCCACTGGGTCTGGGACTCGAACCGCGGTTGACTACATGAGAGATCAGTGACATAGCCATTATGCTAACTGCTGGTCCCACTGGTTTTGATTTTTAAGGGTCATGTTTTCATGATATGTCTTCTCTCTGGCTGGATGAGAGAATCAGGAATTGGAGAACCCCAAGGATGTGTTACTTGTTTTTTTAGGCTGTCTAGAAATTCAAATGTTGCCTTTGATTTCCTATAACAAATGAGGCAGGAGGTCTAAACCACTTGTTCTTAAACTGGTGAGTCCCCACAGTAGCAGGCAGAGGAGACAGAAAGGGAAATTTAGTTCCAAAGTTACAGGTTCATAGTCACTTAGAGAAGATGAGTTTTACTCAATTCAGAGATGATTTCAGGGTTAGATTCAGTTATAGCTGGAAGGGATATAGACTAGTTTTGGTCTTTAAAATATTGTTGCAAAGGGCCAGCTTGTGGCACGGAAGGTAAGGCGGCTGGGTCACATGTAGTCAACTGTGTAGTTGGAGTCCTGGACCCAGTAGTTTGAAAACCATGCTGGGCGTGTGTGCAAGCATGCCCCAATCCTGAGAGGAGAATGGAAGAAAAGGGATTGTGATGTGGCCCTCACCCCTGGGGGATGATTTTGTACTTTTCCTCTCTCTTTCTCTGTCTCTGGCAAACGCACATGACCTGACCTATAGGAAAAAAAAAAAAAGATAAATAAATATATATATGTATATATATGTATATGTGTATATATATATATATGTGTGTATATATATGTATATGTGTGTGTGTATATATATATATATACACACACACATTATATATAGCCAAAGATATATCTTTATTTAATTATATGGACAAAATGTTACACTTACATGTAAAAATGCACTAGTCACTCTTAAGAGAAATTCGTGAGTCATTATTTTATATGATATATGACAGCTTTGGAACTTGAAGATGAAAAATCTTAGTTTTTTTTCTGTGCAGTGTTTATTCTGACCTTTATTTCTAAGATTATCCATATGATGCTTGAAAGTCTTAATGTAGGTTTGCCCATTAAAAATTCCCGAGGCACAAGTTCCAGGAGAACAAGGGGGAAATTCTGGAGGAGCATAATCCACACCTTAGCCCTAGAGAGACTGCTGTCCAGCGGTGGGTGCTCCCTGTTCTCTTGGGTTAATTTGTTTATTTAAGAAAATAGGAGCAAAGAAGACAAACGGTCTCATCCTGAGAATACAATAAACTAGGCATGAGTTTTATAAGGAAACAGCTTTGCTAAGGAAAGTATGTGTTCTTTTTTTTTAAAGAATTATTTTATTTAACTTTATTTATTTATTTATTTATTTAAATTCGACCAGAGAGGGACAGAATGAGAGAGAGAGAGAGAGAGAGAAAAAGAGAGAGAGAGAGTGAGAGAAAACGAGAAATTAAGCCGCCAGGTCTGGGACTCAAACCATGGTCAGCCATGTGGGAGTCCTGTGCTCCCAATCACCACGCCACCTGCCGGCCCCAGGAGAGCATGTCTCACGTTTGATCTTCTCTCATAGGTTGCTGACCAGCAGTCGGCCATGTTTGGAGAATGCTGCTTCCAGACGGGAGATGTGAAATTGACCATGGGAACGGGGACTTTTTTGAATATTAATACTGGAAATAACCCACAGCATACTGCTGGAGGTAAATAGTTAGAGTCGATCCTGCTTATTAATAAATATCACATGTGTTCATATACTGTTGAGATACTTTCACTTTTTCCTCATTTTCTGTTGAGGATATTCCCTAAGATATTTTTCACTATTCTTAGAGGCATTAACCCTTATTTACTTTTTTCAAAAAATAATTATTTTATTTAATCTTATTTATTTATTTTAATTTGACCAGCGAGGGACAGAGTGGGGTAGGAGGGAATGAGAAAGCAAGCTCTCAGGTCCGGGACTCAAACTGTGGTTGGCCATGTAGGAGTCCAGCTCCCTTAACCACCATGCCACCTGCCGGCCCCCTCATTTCTTTTTTTTGTTCTTTAAATTAAAGATATGTATATATATTTAAAGTTACTTTGGGACCAGCAGGTGGCGTGGTGGTTAAGGCGCTGGGCACTCCCACATGGCCGACCATGGTTCAAGTCCTGGACCTGGTGGCTTACTTTCCCACTTTCTCTCCCTCTCTCTCTGATCAAATTAAAATAAATGAATGAATAAATAAAAATTAAAAAAAATAAAGTTATTTTATTTAAGTTTATTTATTTTTTTATTTTAATTTGACCAGAGAGAGACACAACCAGAGAGAGAGAGAGAGAGAGAGAGAGAGAGAAAGCAAATTGCCAGGTCCAGGACTCGAACCGAAGTTGGCCATGTGGGAGTCCAGTGTCCTTAACCACCATGCCACCTGCCAGCCCCCCTAAAAATATATATTTGAAAGGACCAGCCAGTGACATATTGGCTAAGGCAGCTGATCCCACATGCCTGACTGTGTGGTTTGGGTTCCAGACTCAGCATCTTGAAAATCAGGCCGGGAGCCTGTGTGTATGCCCTTAAATCCCAAAAGGAAATCAGAGGAGGGACCAGTGGTTAGCGTCATGGCTATGTTGCTGGACTTCCACATAGTCGACCACGGTTCGAGTCCTGGACCTGGTGGCTTAAACTCACGCCGGGCGCATGTGTGTGCATGCCAAAGATCCCTAGAGGAGAATGGAGGAGAAGGGATCGGTGTGGCCATCCCCCCTAGGGGGTGATTTCTCACTTTCTGTCTCTCTGTCTTTCTGGTGAG